TGTATATCACAGTGAATGAATCCTGTCAGTTTTATTACCAGAACAGCAAGGCACCACAAAAAAGGGCCGTGTTCATCCCTTTATATCTCCCCTCTCTCACGAAATAGCTGCGCTTGATCAGTTTGTTATCCTGGACGGATTCAGCCCCCTCCTCCCCTCCTCCCCTGTCTCCCCGGCGCTTGACTGTCTCACTCGCTACACATCTCTCCGCCTGCACTGTAGCGGAGACGAGCTGGGCAGCTGCTACCCCGTCTCCTCCTCTCCCTCTCTCAGTTAATGGTGCCCCAGTAATGAAAAGCCGAAGAACACAAACGCTGCCGGGCAGTTCCCAGGGGCTCCCGGCCAGCTCGGCGTTTCCGCCAGCAGACAGGAGCTCGCTCGCGTGTCGATATCCATCTCCATCGCCGCTGACAATGATCCTAATTTGGCATTCCTCTCTCCTTCTCTCTCGCCTCCCCCAGTCTCCCCCAGCCCGTGCTGGCTGTGGTTCTGGACTGGACAGCGCGAGGAGCTCATCCCGCCAAATCCACCTCGCTCGCTTTAACCGCGCGCGCCACCAGCGGGCGTCGTGACGGCTCGAGACGAATGGCAACGGCAAAACCGATAAATCGATCGGTGTCAAATCCGTGTTGAAAACAGCTCAATCCGCAGTTTGAAAAGGGTCTGATGTTGAAAACAGTCGACAGTTTGTTTCTGTCTGAACACTGGTAAAACACCCCCATATCGCGCTAGAAATATAAACGCAAAAATCCATGAATAATTCATCAGATAATTAACTAAGATAATTTCGTGTCATTAAGGAAATCAGGCTGAGAAATGTTAAGAACTAAGAAAACAAATACTAGATTCAGGCGTCTGGGAGGCGAGAAGGGGGGAGAAAGCTGACAGAAATTTCTAAAGAATGATGAAATGAGGGGATCCTATCCAGAGAACTGGGCGCTGAGAAAGGACTGTCCTGGGACAGGTCTCAACTCCTTTTTGGTTTGTACAGGACCCAGAAGCCCCTTTCTGCCTAACCTGGTCTTGAACTCAGCTGCTACTCATCGCTTGGGCAGCATGGTGACGCAGAGCTGGGGCTCTGAGACCCATCTGTCTGGAGCTTGCATGTTCTTACCCCGCTGGCTTCGGTTTCCTCCCACAGTCCAGAGACGTGCTGGCGGGTTAACTGGCTCTGGGGAAAATGGGCCCTGTTGTGTGTGTGTGTGTGAGTGTGTGTATCTGCCCTGGGATGAACTGGAGTCCTGTCCAGGGTGCACCCTCTATGAGCCCGTTGCTTGCTGGGATAGGCTCCAGCTGCCCCGCGGCCCTGAACTGGATACAGCCCTTAGAGAATGGATGGGTGCATTGCTTGCTGGGACAGGCTCTGGCTCCCCCTCGGTCTTGTACTGAATTAAGCGGGTTAGAAAGAGATGATGATGAAGATGATGACTTCGTGAAGCATCAGACACCTGCAGACTTCAGGGTTCCCCGCTGGGTTCTGTCCTATAGGAGAGGTTTGACGTGGCTAGGGTCTACAGCAAGTGAGACCCAGGGTAGTAGTGGATGGATAGGGGTGTTAGGAATATTCCGTGGTGCACACTGAATAACAGATGCAAGAGCATCAATGGCATCCCCACACCATATACAAAATACAATTCAGTGCTACTGTACAGTATAATGAAGATAACAATCCATTCAAGTGACTTAGGACCGTTTATACCTCTATCTTAACTGGGTATTGACGACAGTACTTTCATTAAAATCAGTGACACCCAAAGTGGGAAAAAAACAGGCTATCAATAAATACACTATCAATAATTCAGGAATAAATTCAGGAAATGTTTTTTTAAATCCCAGGGACACCTCAGTGAATCCAAGCGTAGGGCAGGAATGCTAACGGAGCCCCCACCTTGAGATCCATCCTGGAATCGAGCCCAGAGCGCTAGCCTTCCCGGCCAGTGCAGTTTTCATATCAGAGGTGGAAAAAAGTCCAGGTTGGGATATCAATAGCAGGAACTCCCAGATCCCACTCACTCCAGTGTGCGTCGGAGCTCAGTACGTGGAAGTGTGCAGCCCCTCCGTTCCGAATCAGCAGGCAGATGGGACACCTCAAGCACATACCAGCTCATGGGCCCCCGCGACCGGCCGCGGTGAGCAATCGGCTCCCGCCCCGCGCCACGGCCCCCTGGGAGCCGGCACAGCGCCGCGCTAATCAATCTGCTTTACAGCAACAAGGGGGAGCGCTTCAGAGCCGTGTTCGCCGCCACGCTCGATGTCTCCGCAACGCCTTCCGTGACCTCAATCTCATTCACAGCTCGCCTGCCGGCCGGGTGGGTGGGTCGCAGGATGGGTGGATGGGTCCGCATCCCGTTTCTAGGGAGGAGGCAGGGGGCCAGGCCCTGAGAGCTCGGGGGAGAGGTGGCGGGTCAGGCCTGGCCACGCCCCACCCCGCGCTGCCCTCTCTCTCTCTCACGGGGGTCCAGCTCAGGGGACAGTTGCGGTTTAGCACTGCTGGAGAGGGTCATCGACTCTCAGGGGACAGTTGTGATTTAGCACTGCCAGTGTGTCCTGACACGGTCATGAATTGGACGGGTCCAGCTCCGGGGGACAGTTGTGGTTTAGCACTGCTGGAGAGAGTCATGAATTGGGCTGGGGTCCAGCTCAGGGCATGGGCAGGGTTTAGCACTGCTGGAGAGGGTCATCGGCTGGGCTGGGGTCCTGCTCAGGGGACAGACGTGCTTTAGCACTGCTGGAGAGGGTCATGAGATGGGCTGGCGTCCAGCTCAGGGCATGGGCAGGGTTTGGGCATGGGCAGGGTGACCAAGAGGAATGAGCAGGAGACACCTGACCTGATGTGTGTTGTTGTGTATCACTCCCTGATTGTGTGTCCCCCCCCCCAGGCCTGTGTGTGTTTGTGCATCTCTGTGTGTGTCTGAGTCTCTGTGTGTGTGTTTCAGTCTGTGTGCCCATGTGCGTGTATGTCCTTATGTATGTGTCTCTGTGTATAGGGTATGTGTGTGTCTGTGTGTGTCCGTGAGTGTGTTTTGTCCCTGATTAAGACTGCTCCGCACTCTCCTTGGAAAGAGCCCTGAGCTCTTCAGTAGGTCACTCGCGCTCTGTGGCTCAATGGTATGTAAATGTCCTGTCCTGCCTTACTCCATCTCCCTGCTCAATATTATGTAAATCACACCCTTACTTGACTGGAACTCAACAGGTCAATATTGTAAAAAAAAAAACAGGTTTCTCTCCAAGACACCAGCCTGCCTCCCCACCCCCTCCCCTGCCTCGCAACAGGTCAGAGAGCCGGGGAAAAGCAATCTCCGCCCCCCGCCATTGATCCAGGAGACCCGGCGCTGTTCCCAGCTGGGGCCGGGGTCAGGGGTCGGCAGTAAACTCATTCGTTTACACAGGCCAGCCCTGTCAGGCACGCCGCTGTCAATAGGAATGTCATTACGGGCCAGTCCGGGAGGAAATAATGAGCACGGAGGGAGGGAGCGAGGGAGCAGGTGGGGAAGACGAGGAGAGGGGAAAGAGCGAGCACATAGACAGAGCAATCAGCAGTGCCCCTCCCTGGCCCTGGACGACTGCGGGGAGGAGCGTTTCTTTCACGAATTAATTGACCCTTTAATTGGACTTAATTGGCTTGACCTTCGTCCATTTAACGGCCAAGAGACTTGTGCGCCCTGCCCGTGGCTCTCCAGGAGCCGGGTGAGGACGGGAACCGGAGAAAGGGGGGTGGCGAGGATGTCCCAGAATGCACCATTCTTGACTGGCTAGGGCTCAGAGCTCACTGTGCTTGCACCACGGCTGCCCTGAGCAGCGTCCTCCAGCCTCCATGACACAGCAGTACCTCCTAAACCCAACACCAGCTGAAGTTATTAACCCTGAAGTATCCTTTAATAACACGTTTAGATACGAGAGCTATCCGACTTTCAACAAGCGTGCGATCAGTCCATGGGGAAAGGTCTCTTCCCACGGGGGTATTAACACCCCATTAATATTCTGCTCGTCATTTACAGGTTATAAAGCATGGATTAATTGGAAGCTGCAGCCCCTTCACTAAAGTGTCGCCAAATTGTTTGGGTAACAGTGCAGATTAGCACCATGTACAGCCGCTCACCGCAGTGTTATTCCTGAAGCACAGCTTGTTGAGTGCCAATAAAAGCCTAATAATATTAATTAGTTACATTAGTCATTACCAGTGAAAGGTAATGCGCCCCCACTGTGCGGAGCTGCCGGTCGTGTGACAGGAGTCGCACACAGAGGACGCTTGCCTTACGAGTGACGTCTGCCCTCCTCCGTGTTTCTCAAAGGCCCTGAGGGCCAGGAGGGGCAGGACTGAATTTGCATGATCCGGCTCACGCTGAGGCCCAATTAAGGAGCGAGAGGTGCTCCAGGGCTGTCGGCCTTGCTCTCCTGTCGCTGCCCCTGACGGATCGCGGAGGGAGAAAGGTTGCGACGGGAGGGATTTACGGCAAGAGAGGGAGAGGGGGGCAGCAGCAGGGTGGGGGGTTGACAGTTAGGAATTTGGGTAGCGGTAGTTGCCGTTGACGACACACTGCGAAATGGCAGCCGCACTCCAGGACAAATAAGTCATAAATGTACCGTCTCTCCTCACCCCTGAGCACCCCCCTCCCTGGCCTCTGCAATTAACATTTAAAAAGCTATAATTTAGCAATAGCGCTTAATCAGACAAGGAGGATTTACAGCCCCGGGAGCGCGAGGTGAGCCGTCTCCCGGAGAGCGAGGGGGCGGACGTGACCGGAGACGGGGAGAGGCTGGGATACAGGGATGCAGGGAGGGATGGGAGAGGGCAGGAGCTTCACCGGGGAAGAGGAGAGAAGGGGCTCCTCTGAATCACTCCTGTCCCTCCCTCTCTCAGTCCCCCGGTCTGTCCCTCTCTGTCTCCATCTCTCCCACCCCCCTCACTCGCTCCGACTCCCAGGCGCTCCCTGTCTCTTGCTCCCCGGGAGTCGCTCTTCCTGTCCCTGATCGCCTCCTCTCCCTCTCTCCCGGCGCAGGTGCGGGCCAGCGCCATCGCGCAGGACGCCGACCAGAACTACGACTACGCCTCCAACAGCGTCATCCTGCACCTGGACGTGGGGGATGAAGTCTGCGTCCAGCTGGACGGGGGCAAGGTCCACGGGGGCAACACCAACAAGTACAGCACCTTCTCCGGCTTCCTCATCTACCCCGACTGAGAGCCCGCCCCCTGCTGGAGCCCCGGGGCAGGGCAGGGCAGACAGGCGCCGGGCCGGGCGGGGGCGGGGGAGGGGGCTGACCGCGCTGTGTGCCCGGGGTAGCCGTGTGCTCCGGGACCGACCCCGCCGGAGCTGGCATTGCGGCGCTCGGCTGACATGTTTGAACTCTCCGGAAATAGTGTTTGCAGTCTGTAATCTCTCAATTCTCCCCTGTGTTTATTTTAGAAAGTTCACTCATACAGCGGAGTTAAAATGACCTTCAAATCGGACATTTTCTTTGCCTTTCCGTCCTGTTCAAGGCACAATCACATCCATTAAGAACACAATCCATCATAAACACAGACGTGCACACACCGGGGCTGGGATGAATTAGTCTCGGCTCTTCTGTGGACTCATTTGACCCGAAGTGAGGCCGTTTACTGTCCGCAGGAGTCACCGGCGTGTCCGGCCAGCGGTAAGTAAATGCTGCCAGCCCTCCAATACTAGTACTGACTCTCCGGCTCGGCGGAGACAATGATTTCCGATATGTACCGCGATATGTCCCCTTAACCAGCAGGGACGTGTTTAACTAATCGTATCGACCTCTGTGCACCTCAAGCGCGCCGCGCCGGGACAGTACTACAGTGTATTGATCTGCACAGAGGGTCTGTCGGTCTACCTGACCGCCAGGTGGCCGGTCGATCGGACCACCGGGATCGATAGCTCCTTCACCCCCGGACACGATGCGCGCCACCGGTGACCGACTGCAAACAGTCATTTCTCGGTTTGCTCGAGGTGACTCACGGTGCAACCGTGAAAGATTTTATTTTTAAGAAGTCGTGAGTTCGTCGGTCTTGAATTATTAGCAACCTGCATATATGTATATATCCTGTATGTCGCAGCTGGGGACTTGTCTTTATCCTCCCTCCCTCCTCACAAGAAGCAAGCCGGTTATCTTTCACAGCCGAGACGGAGAGAGCGTTTCAGTTTGTACCGTAAGGAATGTGCTCGTTCTACCAGTCTTGTCGTCGTCGTGGTTTTACCTTACAGCGGAACTAGAAAATGTCAAAAGAGCCTTTTTTTTATTCCCCGCTCGCTGTGGGAGAGTGTGTGTGGTTCTGTATGATACCCGGGGTACGTCGCTTAAGCGTGTCGATATGTACGCGCAAGCTGCGGTTCGGAGAGGCGCGTCTCTACAGCCCGGCTCCCGGCCTCGCAGAGACACAGTACAGTACTGGGTGACAGAACCTCTGCTGCCGGGCCGGGCCGGGCCGGGCCGGGCCGGGCTCTTTCCGGGTCACGGTCGGGATTTCCGTGGCCTGCTGTCAAAGCGTTTTGCTCCGGCGCCCCCCGTCGCTTGCCGCCCTGTACTCTGTTCAGAGCCCCGAAACCGTGCTGACACGAAAGACATTTTACTGTCCCCTCTGTTTCTCACGCAGTCATGGGGTACTTGTCTGTGTGGAGTCTGCATGCCCCCCCAATTCCGCGTGGGTTTCCTCCCAGCTTCCAAAGACACGCTGGCTATAATCAGTGTTTCTAACTTGTCCCTGCGAGTCCCGCTCTGTGTTTAAACGGCTCCGGGAACAAGCGGCACCCTGATATTTAACGGGTTTGGCTTCTCTCACACTGGTCTTGGCTCAACACCTGTTGTAAATAATTCGAGGAAACGCTGCTCTGGATCAAAGAAGAAGCGCCGTGTGATGGTAGTTTCGCTGTGGTAAGTCTGCACAGCCGGCTGTTCGCGCTGTACTCGCGCTGTGGACCTGGCCCGGCGTCCAGAACGGCTCGAGGAGGGGTCATCTGGGCTCGCTGACAGCTCTTCTACAGAACCAGTCTGGAAGGTTAAGAGGCGACTGTGTGATGGAACGGGAGTCTACGTGCGCGATCACGCACGATCACGCCGCTGCTGGGACAGCGCACGCAGGGTCTCCCGAATGCTCACGCACAAGACGTCCTTGACCTGCTGGGCCTTCACAGAGTGCCGTCGGCGCAGGTTTGTAAAGTGGCTGGGCAGCGCCACCCAGAGGACAGTGAAGAGAGTGGAATCCTTGGCTCGGAGGGACAGATCCACGAGCTAAAGGTTACAGCTGGGGTGTGAAAGCACGGGTAGGGGGCGTGGGCTCGGCCACAGAAACACAATAGGATCCGTTAGCTGTGTGTGCAGTTTGGGTTTGTCCAGGCGTTTGGAACGAGCGTCAAAGTGGAAACACGTCACGCTGACGGGGACGGACACGGCAGGGCTGGAGAGCTTCTGCGTGTGCGCCCCATCCTCAGCGCGTCACCCCGAGGGATTCGTGGACCGTGGGTGGGATTCTGTTGCCAACGGAACGATCTCACTGATCTCACTGTGTTCCGGCGGCTGCGTCATAGTGCGATTGGCGTCATATTGCGGTGACGCCACTGCCGCGAGAGCCGCTTGTTACGTGCTTTCAGCGCTTAACACAACATAGTGATCAGAGCGATATGTGACAGTACACTCGGGGAGTTTTAATGATATTGGCTCCGTATGTCTATGTCATTTCTCCCCGTGGTTTCCATAATTCATGAAAGAGAAGGTTGTGATAAAGGGTTTGAGTCTCGGAGTGAAGTAGATAGCCCTGCATGTTCTGTGTTCTCCAGCTCTTTCGTCAACGGCAACAATGAGAAAATAACTGCTGAAATCGTAATGCAAATGAGCTGGTTTCTTCTTTTTGTGTTTAACTGGGTCTGCTCCCATGCTGAAGGCGCCCTGCTTGAAGAGGCGTCTAACCAGGCCGCTCGGCAGCCTGGGGTCCAGACCTCTGCTTTGAGCAGCCCGAACGAGAGGGAATCGGGCCGGTGGGGAGTTTTCTCTCGGGGGTTCTGACCTCTGTGTGTGTTTCGAGCGAGATGGAAGGGCTCCACACGCCTGGTGGAGAAACCTGAGAGCTCGAGCCACATGAGAAATCTTCTTCATTGCTTGAATGACGTGTTCTGTCATTTCTCTTATTGTAAAATACTGCATTGAGATCTCTGTTTCACCTGTAACAGTGTATGATAGCTATTTAAGATGATGTTTATTATTAATGGTATGGATTGATTGATGTTACTGTGCCACACGAGCAGTGTGTGTGTATCCAAGAAATTTATCTGCCTTATTCTGAATGATATCTCAAGAATAAACCTCGTTATAACAGCATTGCTTCCCATCTTGCCTCTCTAGTCTGTGTTCAAATCACTTGTCCACACTGCCTCTCTCTCTCCCAGTCCCTCAGCTCTAACCACTAGCCCACACTGCCTCTCTCTCTCTCCCAGTGTCTCAACTCTGACCACTAGCTCACACTGCCTCTCTCTCTCTCCCAGTGTCTCAGCTCTAACCACTAGCCCACACTGCCTCTCTCTCTCTCCCAGTGTCTCAGCTCTAACCACTAGCCCACACTGCCTCTCTCTCTCCCAGTGTCTCAGCTCTGACCACTAGCCCACACTGCCTCTCTCTCTCCCAGTGTCTCAGCTCTGACCACTATCCCACACTGCCTCTCTCTCTC